CAACCCAGCTGCGTTCACACGTGCACATTTGTTCCGGCGTAGCGTCGCAAACGAGCATTTGCTCTGGAGCAAATTTTTAAACCACCTCCCTGAGGTTGATCAAATTTGGTCCGGTATAAGCTCTTTAGTGGAGCTACGTCGGAGCAAATGTGCACGTGTGAACGCTCGACTGGCTTTGCTTCGGCGCAGCGTTGGACTAAACGTTGCCGTGTGAACGGGGCTATACTGAGGGTTTGTGATTGCTCAACTCAACTGTATTTATAAAGCACTTTAAAACAACCACCGCTGTATGCAAAGTGCTGTACATGGAGCAAATATCACATATACAACAATAAACAAGAAATTCATGACGAAGACAGTGGAAAGCACAAAAACAGTAAAACTAAAAATCAAGTCTCATGCTTAGTCAAAAGCCAAAGAATAAGAATTAGTTTGAGACGAGTTTTAAAGATGGGCAGCGAGGGGCCTTGCCGAATGTTCAGTGGGAGGTCATTCCAAAGAAAGGGACCAGCAACAGAAAAGGCGCGGTCCCCTCTAAGCCTCCGCTTAATTCTTGGTACCTTGAATAATGTCTGGTCCGCAGACCTGAGGCACCGGCCGGGCAGGTGTGTAGGGGGCTGGGGCGAAGGAGCTCAGAGATGTAAGGCAGAGCGAGGTCATTTAAAGATTTGAAAACAAATAATAGGATCTTAAAAAGAACTCTAAAATGTGTAGAGAGCTGTGGACACGTCAGAGGCGCGCCGTCTCCAGGCTAGCACTGCCACTTCTTCTTTCTCAGAGGATGTTATCTTCATTCAAGGCTGAGAACAGGAACCAGCTGGCCTCTTCAACACGATAAACCACTTTTGATTTGTACACTGTGCTTTTCCCATCGTGAATGAAGTCTTTGCAAGGTCGCATGAGTAAGTTGATAATACATCCAAAAGCAGAAAGCGATAATCACTCTTACACATGCTTTCTGAGTTTTTACCGTATACAGGCAAGTCTGAATTTCGAGGTGTACGTCTTCGGTGTAGCACCACATCGTGTTGCAACATTCCGGGCAGCACTAATAATACTAATAATTAATCAGATTTTTAGCAATATGTTCCCACAAATAAACAATTACTTTGTGTTGTTGTTGTTTTTTTTTTTTTCTTTTTTTTTAGTCTGATCCATCCAGTGTCCCACAGCTTGCATGGCAGTTTGTGTCCGTCCAAATGGCTGTCAACCCATTCTTAGCTTTCTGTAAAGGAGATACAGTTCACTTTCTCATGGTATGTACTGACCTTTTAACTGGAATAGATACATACTGTATTTTATCTTCATCTACAAATATCTAATTTACATAATGAACAATATTATTTTTATATGGATGTGTTCTATATATAAATTATATTTCCTCTTTGTGTTCATTTTTTTCTTTCCAATTTGTATTCAGTTCTCTACAAAGTCTGGTGGCACTTTTGAAATACACTTAACTATTACCACTGCATTCAGTAGCATTCTTTAATATTTTGCATTTGTGGTAAATAGTTCAAGTACTATATTATTTGATTTGGAACAGATTACATTTATTATTTATTAGCCCTGCCATAGTTTTTTTTTTTAAGATTGAAATTCAACGAGTTAACGAAATTCTGCTTAAAGATCTGCCTAAATTTTTACCATGAGCAAAGCAAGATGAATGGCCACAATTCAAATGTTCTTAATTTTGCTGACAAGCCCAATGCTTTTGACAATTACAAGTTACCTCATCCTCTGATGTAATAATTGTTGTTTTACATGAGTTTTGTGTCTTGTGACAGCAAACTTACTTGAATTCAAGAATTAAGACTAACTCCAAAGGTGGAAGAGAATGAACAAAAGTAAGTTAAAATAAGACTTTTTCATGAAATCATTTTACTTTGCTGCTTCGTCCAGATAAAAAGAGAGGAGATGGGTGCCATCCATGTTATCAAACAGAGACATATTCATCTCAGCTGCGATATAATCAGTTTGAATGTAAGTACTCCAAGTAAAGGTATGATAGCTTTTCAGACCATTTAATCTTCATACTGATACAATAGTCTTTGGGGGAATTGTTAATGTAAATTGTACAGGTGCAACGATTAATCATTTTGATAATTGATTAATTCTTTGGAGACCTTGTTTCATTTAAAATTATCCAAATCAACAGCAATTCAGCCTTTCAGTAGTAAATGTTCTCGAATTTCTGTATCTCTCCATGAAAGCAGACTGTTTCTCTTGGTGTTGTATCAAAATACAATATTTGCAAACATCTGCATTTCATCTGGAAAACACTGATCTATGTTTTTACCGTTTTTCTGACATGTTATGGACCAAACCAGGAACTGAATCAAATTAGTTCATTTTCTGCACTGTTCATGTGAAATAATGATGTTTTTGCATCACGGATAGAAAGAGAAACGTTCAAAAAAAATTCCAATTAATCGACACAGTCCTTGGCAGATTAATCGATTATTAAAATCATCATTAGTTGCAGCCCTAGTAAATTTAGTCATTGTCCAACAAATTTGTTTTAGGAAATCTCAACATTTTTTTTAACTAATCGTTGGTCTCTTCAATGTAGATATGGGTCATGTTTGAATTCTGGCATGTAGTTATAAAGTATGATTTGTGTCAATTTATAAATAATATTGAGGTTAGCACTAGGCATCTTACTCTTTTTCATTTGTGCAACACAAGCAAAATTGCTCAACTGTTTTATAAACTGTTCATTGTATCTCTGGCAGGCTTTTGTGGTAGTTGTATGACAAATTTACCTGGAAAGCAAGGTGCAGCATCGATTCACTTCCTTTCTGTCTCAATTTTATTTTTAGTGGATTAATGGTCGTACATTAGTCCTGATAGACAGCCACGAAAAGCTACAAGTTGTGGACCGACCCAGTCAGGAGATTTTGGAGATTCTGGACTTGGAGCAGGTGCAACTGGTATACAACAGCCGCCATTTCAAATCGCTGGCCACAGGAGGGAATGTCTCCCAGGCTTTGGTGAGGGATTTTCTGATGAGTTACAATTGGTTCGCGTGAATAATCACCACTAGATGGCATAGGAACATTAATAAGATAAGATAAGGTAAGATAAGATAAGAAAACATTTATTTGTCTCACAATGGAGAAATTCCCAATTTACAGCAGCAAAATTATGAAAGGGAGAAGTAGAAGAACAAAAAATATATAAATAAATATGAATGATAAAATATAAATACAAGCATATTAAAAATGGGTGACTGGGGATGATTCCAGGTTTTCAGGTCTGTCTATGTCAGTGTTTTTCAATCTTTTTCGAGCCAAGGCACATTTCTTTCATTGAAAACATCTTGCGGCACACCACTAGCTGAAAAAAAAAGCTTATTTAAACAATTAATTGTTACAGTATATTGTTCCTGCAAGCGTTTTTTTAACATTGAAAAAATAACGTTATATTATAACACCTTGACTAGGAATCAAATTGACACCAATCCAACATTTTATAATCTTACATATTTATTCTCACTCAGTGTGATAAACGGTTTGGATGAAAACATCTGATATCCTGGTAGCAATTGATAGAAGACACACAAAGCTCTTCCTCCACAGCTCTCATTCTTTCTATGGTTTTAGTTTTTACAGCAGTCAGGCTATTGCTTTAGCCGCTTCAGGTCTGGTAAAAGTAATTCCAAATGAAAGATAACTTTCGCCGGAACTTGCGCCGGAAACTTCGCTTGTCTCAAAGCATAAGGCGATTAGCTAGCGACCGCTACAATTGATTGTACTGGATTCTATTAAGGGTTAAGAGAGTACAGGGGGCTGAATACAAATGCACACCACCTTTTTCAAATTCATATTTGTAAAAAAAAAAAAAGACAAGACATTGAAAGTAGGGATGTTGTCAGTGTTTTGCCTGGGACAAGTTAAATCCGTCTTGCTCATATAATTCTCTGTCTCTAACACAGTATGTTTTTATTCCAGGCTTTAGTTGGAGAAAAAGCTTGCTACCAGTCTATTTCAAGCTATGCAGGACAAATTGTCTGTTTGGGCACCAAGGTACTATTTGTTAATGTGTGTCCGATATTTGTAAACGTTGGGAACAGTAATTGAGAACTTTCACTTAAGTGTCATTAAGGTAGGTAGGCTAAAATGAGTTGAAAATGAGAAGGTTTGCATTTCTTTTTTGATGGATGTAAAAGACAATCAAATAATTTTATAATTTATTACGTTGATATGTTTTTAAAAAGACTTTACAAACTAAACTGCAGATTAAATGGTCATTATAATAATAATAATAATACATTTTATTTGTAAGCACTTTTCAAGACACCCAAGGACACTTTACAATAACAAAAACAATAAAACACAAAACAATTAGTAGAATACCCATGTATTTCACAAACATCCAAAACAAATTACAGTATATAAGATAACTTGACAAACTAAATGACAAATACTCACGTGAGCAAAACATGTAACTGACAGCTAATCATTGTACTCAGATACAACGATTATTCACATAATAAATAGTAATGATTGTCTACACTAAGTTTCAGGTTTGGGTTTTACATGTGCCGACTAAATTTACACTGGTGTGACCTACACTACAATGGCCAGTATCGATTTGTCCTAGTCCAGTTCCTAACGATGTAGCGCGATCGCAGGGCAGACTCATCGATGCATTGGTTCAATAGATGTATTGTTACGCTCCAACTATAATTAAATCAGATGTTGTCATACTAAAATAAATACACATTGCCAAATTACCATTTCAATATTGCTGCAATAAACAACCTATGACAAATTGTCAAATTATATTTTGCAGTAAAAATATACTATTTATAATTCATGCCTGGTATTCACTTGCTCATACTTGAGCTGTATTGTCCATAGATTACTCATGCTTTCAACCTCATGTTGTTGGACAAACTACGCTGGAATTTTAATGTCTAGAGTTGCAGTATTGCCAAAACATGGCAAATCAAAATAATATTCATGCTAATCTACTTTTTGGCATTTCAGTCATTCTTAATGATATTAACATGAAATGGGATGCTGTGATACTTTGTAAAACACAATTGTCCATCATTCTGTCCCTTTTGTTTCAGTCAGCCCATTCTATGACTCTCAGGACCTGGAGAGAGGTAACTTCGTTTTCTTTACTTTGTTGTCTGTTGTTATTCTACTGTCTTTGGTACACTTAATTAATTTAGTCTCTGTATATGCAGCGCATTGACTGTTTGTTGAAGCAGGAACATTTTGTTGAAGCTCTCTCATTGGCCTGGTCCTTTCATGAACGAACAGCTAAGGCTGTGGTTGGTGAGTGATAATGATCATTATTATCCACCCATCCATTTTCTAATCCTCTTGTCCTCACGAGGGTCACGGGTCTGCTGGAGCATATCCCGGCTGTTTTGGGCAGAAGGCCGGGTACACCCTGGTCTGGTTGCTAGGCAATCGCACGGCACACATAGACAAACAACCATTTGCTCTCAGAATCACACCTCGGGACAATTTTGAGTGTTCCATTAACCTGCCATGCATGTTTTTGGAATGTGGGAGGAAATAGGAGTGCCCGCAGAAAACCCACGCAGGCACGGGTAGAACATGCAAACTCCACACAGGGAGGTCAGAACTGCAATCAAACACTGCACCTCTTCACTGTGAGTCAGACTTGCTAACCAGTCCGTCACCATTCCGCCATGATCATTATTATGATAATGATACTAATACTGTAGCAAATTGAACTCGTATGGTCCTAGACACTCATAGATGCTTTACAGTATATACAAAACAGAAAACAACACCTTCCAAAAAATGTATATCTACAAAAACTGGGAGGCATATAGAACAGCTCAAACCCTAAAAAAAAAAAAAGGCTTACCTTGAAACTAACATATAGTCCACTATTTTTAATTTTCTGAACGCTCCGAAGACTTTTATATCTGCTCTTCTTCAAAGTTTGGCTAGTACTTCTAAAAATATTTAAAATGGAAGTTACCTAAAGCATTACAGTTACAATGTTTGTGTGCCCTGTTATTGGCTGGCAACCAGTTCAGGGTATCAGGTTATACCCCGCACTGCCCGAAGACAGCTGGATGAGGCTCCGGCACGCCCGTGACCCTTGGAGGATAAGTGAATTTGAAAATGGATGGATGATTGCATGAAATTTTGTGTGATGCATGGAGTCCAAAGTATTGAAACATAGATTGTATGCATATGCAGCTCTCTATTGATCCTTCAGGACAAAATAAAAAAAATAACACTTTGTAATGTTGTACATTAATTGGCCAGAAGTGCAAACATACTCAGTCAGCATCCTATGGTCATGCAGCAATCCAGAAATATTGAGAGGTCTGCCTGTGCTTGGGAAACAAACTGTATGTGTATCATAGGGCTCACAGTGAGCACATTCTGGTCCCTTTACATCCAAGTCAAGTCAAAATACAATTTATCAAAAGTAAGTAGCATGATAGCATAATAATAATTGAGTAATGTTAACTGGCGTGTGTGTTCTCTCAAGGCTTGTGTGTCGATCCTTTCAAAAGAAAGGGAATTGTTGGTGACAAGGTATGCACAGAACTATCACAGTGACAGCAAGATGTGTCTGCAATTGACATGAAATTTTAATTCAATCTTAACTCTATTATGTGTTGGTGGAGATGGTGGAGATACTGTTCCAGTTTGCTGATCATGCTATGAAGAGGTGCCCAGAACAAGGCAGAATCCAAGTCATGGAGCAGCATTTTCATGTAAGTGCATTAAAAAAAAAAAAAAAAAACATACTCTACATTCTCCGAAGAACTAATTCCAATATTAATGCCGTTAATATCCGGACAATTGGTCAAAATATATGTTCAAGTAAAAAATACAATACTTGTATGTATGCATGTACGTATGTATGTATGAGGGTCATTCAATAAATATGATTTTTTTTTTTGTTGTTGTTGTTGTAAGGACTTCTAATACAGATAGAAGCGTACTTTTTTTTTTTTTTGTAAATGTAGTCTCCCAGCACTGTCACACGCTTTTCCTAACCATGCACAAGCTTCCATTTTCTCTCAGCATAAAAATATTTGGATTGATGTTTCAGTCAGTCGCTCACTTTCAAACTTGGTGCCTCTCGTAATGCTTTTAAGGGACCAAAGAGGTGAAAGTCTGAAAGGGCAAGGTCTGGGCTGTTAGGTGGATGAGGGAGCAGTTCCCAGCCCAGCTCATTGATGGTCTGCACCGTTTGGGCTGCTGTGTGATGCCTTGCGTTGTCATGATGCAAGAAGACTCCTTCTGACTGATAACCCCTGCGTTTGTTCTTTATGTCTGTCTTAACCTGCCTCAGCAGTTCACAGTAGTTGGCATGAAGTTTGAAAGTGATGATCAAGTCAAAAGTGTTGTGAGTGACTGGCTGAAACATGAGGACAAAGATTTTTATGCCCTAGGGAATATAGAAGCTTGTGCACAGATGGGAATAGTGTGTGAGGGTGCTGGGAGACTATGTTGAAAAAGAAATTGTTAGATTCTATCTGTATTAGAAGTCCTCATGCCGAAAAATTCACCATATTTCTTGAATGACCCTCATACATACATGCGTACATGCATGCATTCATGCATACATACAAATATTGTATTTTTTACTTGTACATATATTTAAATTGCCCAATCCTCATTTTCCCTTTTTTCCGGACACCGCACCGACAGTACCAAAGATTTTTGTAACTACTGCAAAACTGAATTTTTTTAATCACACAGGAATACATTCATTCTGAGCTATCATCTCAATGCAATATACACAGTTGTTGACTCCAACAAATCATTCATTAGTTAGTTTTATGTCTGTGTTGATTCTCACTCATCTTGGTCAATTCAAAGCGCTTGAATCATGTTTATTTTTTTTTTCCTTGTTGAAACGTTTAAAAAAATACATAACCAATTATGCTATTAATAAATGAATAATCACTGTCAAAATTCTCATGTTTATGTTCAGGATGTGATTCCAATCTTGATAGATTTCTGCCTGCTGTTGCAAAGGACGTAAGTACATTCTACAACATTATACATGATTGCAAGCACAGCAGACAATAAATAAATTGTGAAAATAGATGTTGGGATAGTATGCACACAGGTCGTGAATTTTCTGACCCCAAGCTTCATTATTCATAATAAATGTTTTTGGAGTCAAGGAGACTTTGCCTGGTTGTACATGTACAACCTATAATTCTTTTCAGTCACCACATTGTGAAATTTGGACGCATGACGCAAATTTGATGGGTTTTTTTTCCCCCACAAAATACTTTTTTATTTATTTATTTTATCGCAACCTTTGACCCTGATCTTTCTGTCACTGATTTTGACATGCTCTGGACAGGAATGCATGTTCCACGGAGTGTACAGTAAGCAGGAGTGTCTGTGTTTCAATTATAGCGATCTACTATTCGACCAGCTATATGCTCGGCTTGTGGAGAATGTGGTTGCTAAGGGTGTTTTCCTGGAAGCACTCGAGTCATACATTGTCATGGACCGCCTTGGTCACCTCCCCACACCCATCATGAAGGATCTCTTGGCCCATTACCACAGCAATGGTTTGATGGACAATCTGGAGAGATGCATTGTTCGTCTGGACGTCACAAGCCTCGATATACAGCAGGTGTGTCGATGTGTGTCATTGTGCACAGTGGAGAATGATTATAAAAACGCATCAAATCAGAAGAACTAATATTTTTCTACCCCAATTATCTTCAATGTGTGTTTGTGTGTGTTTGATTCAAGGTAGTTCAAGTTTGTTGGGCAAACCAGCTATATGATGCGATGATCTATGTGTTCAACAGTGGCATGAATGACTACATCACACCAATGGAGGTAATTTCACTCCCGCAGTATTTTGTAGTGCAAGTCTTAGGAAAACTATTTTGATCATCAAGGTGGTCAGAAGGGTCCAGTGTACAAATGTTGCTTCAGTGTAAGTGAGCAGAAAGTTTCTAAAATTCTGAATAGCATGCCGATTTCGGTGCAACCACAGATAAAAGTAGTCGGCACCACAATGCCATGCTATTGTGCACTGTATTTCATTGTTTGCAAAAATAATGGTAAAAATTCGAAGAAACCTGATGATAAATATGAATTATATAAAATGAGTATCAATGTTCTGAAAATTCAGTGCCTCTTTTGTTTCAGAAACTTTTTGCTGTAATTGGCCCACCTCTTCGGGAGGGAAGAAGCTTAACAGGTGAGTTAGTTTTCATTTTTCAGTAATTTGTACAAGACCGATGCTACTTTTTCTCTCATTTTCTCTGAACAGCTAAAGAAGTGGTGATGGGAAACAAACTATTGGTGTACATCAGGTAAGCTAAGATTGTGTATAAAAACTCAACGCACCCTTGTTCAAATACCCGGTTTTGTGACGTCTTTAGTTTTTATGCATATATATGTATATGTGTACAATAATCCCTCGTTTATCGCGGGGGTTACGTTCCAAAAAGAACCAGTGACAAGTGAAATCCGTGAAGTAGGATTTATTTTAAAAAATGCAAAAAAATGTGAGAAGGACGAAATTTCATATGTGCTGTATGTGGAACATACAGCACATTTGACAATAAAGTTGTGCTTGGTACTTGATAGTCAGCTTTATTTTTTACACTTATACAATACTGAACTATGTATACAATGCAGAGGCCTTTGCTCTAAGACTGCAAGGGAAGCTCAGCTTCCCCTAAAATGTCCAAAAGTAAGTGATCAAAAATTGTGTGTCCGTACAATTATGTGGACATGTCATTGACTAAATATGCGCGACAACACGCTCAACTTTTGTTCCGAATCAGCTTCTTACTGGTTACGACGCGACTCTCTTCTCGTTCATTCCCTCAGCTTCACTGTGCTTTAAACTGTGTGGACGCTAAGCGTCGACCGCGCGGACGCTGGGCGTCTCGAGAGTTCAGTCCCAAAGCATTGAAACGAGACGAGTCATTGGATAAATGCTGGTTTTGTCCCAGCCATCAGACGCTCAGCGTCTCTGGGAGTCTACGGACAGTGGCCGTTTATAGGCTGGCCAGGAAGCTCCGCTTTCTGCATGATGATCAGATGATCTGTCTGAGGCTGAATCTCTTTTTGATTGACAGCGAAATGAGCCAATCACCGATCTTATGGTGAAGGCAACCTTCTCATTTTTTTGAAAAGTAACGGAGAGTAAAATTCACGTATAAATAAACGGACACATTTTATGATGTAGGCCGAAATTGAGCTTCCCCTCCTTGACAGACCAGCATCTGCCACTGATACAAATAAACCAAAGACCAAAAATTTGCAAAGGTAAATTTG